TACCTACCTACCTACCTATTTACTTACCTACCTACCTACCTATTTACTTACTTACCTACCTACCTACCTACCTATTTACTTACCTACCTGCCTACCTACCTACCTATTTACTTACCTACCTACCTGTGCATTACCTGTCTTCCTAGCTACGCATGTGGTACATGTCTCCATCAGCCTGGGCTTCCTTAAAGTAACTGAGTTGTTTTTCTTTTCCTTCTTTGGCCTGATTATTCAGGCATTTCCTAAAAATAATTTGGAGGAAGCAGAGACAGATGTGCAATGCAGCTTGACTATGGGGCAGGAGACCTTGGGCTGATTCCAGCTTTGCCTCTTGCCAAATGTCTCATCCTTGGTAAGTCACATATCCTCTAGGGGTTTCAATCGGATCATCTTTAAAATGGGATAATTATATCCACTTTGCCTATTGAACAGAGGACATACATATTTTGGTGTGTTGACAGATATAAGGTCAGAGGGAAGGTGGTTTGTGAGGATGAAGCCTTTGGCCAGTGGCCTGGGCAGCTCAGCTGTCATCCTCAGGGTATAATTAGAGGGACTTGAAGGTCATCTAAGTGCTTCCCTCCATTAACCCTAACGTTTCCACCTTTAGATTCTTTTTTCAGGATCCCATAGGAAATTTGTATATTTCATGGGTTATTGACTGAAGGAAGTCAGATTTCTATTTCAATTTAGCTCTGTTCCATTTTTGCTAAAACTTTTGAAGAAAATGAATTATTTCTTGTTAAGTTTAGACTTCTACTAGCTTGGATGCGGTTTGTAAATTAGAATGCTTTTTTGGAACATGATGTCATGGGTAGAAGTTTTCAGATGAGCACGTCTTCTGTGTCTGTACCGTGTGGTTCCGTTAACTGATCTACATCAGCACAGATCTGGTCACCTTTTGAGGCTTCAAGGGCATGTGGCCTTTTAGGAGAGAAATGGAGCTCTCAGGTGAGAGGTGTAGGATGAATAAGTGGTAGTAGAGAGTAGGGTGGGATGGTGGAAGTTTCTGGAGCACTTAGTATTCAGTATCAGGCCAGAGGTGAGCTTTCTCCATAAAGAGTGAGGGAAGCTGGGGAGAATTGGGCTTTCTAGCATAAGAATAGGCTGAAACTGACCTTCTAGAACTTGGGCCTCAAACCTATTTGCAAAATATTGCTTTTTTTGCATGGCTTGGGGGAGACTCAGGAGTGACTTAGGGATTCCATGTGGCTTCCCCAAGCAGGAAGCCAGACAGTTCATTGCTTCCACAAAATTCTACCAACCTCCCACTTTCCACATGGGTTCTTTGGTTCTGTGGGACAAATGGGTATGGATTACCATTTTATTGATAAAGAGAACGAGGAGCCAGAAATGTTATTGAGCCAGAAGATTACTTGTTGAAATCACACGACTAGTTACTGGCAGGGCTGAACCTGGGAGCCAGTGTTGGGAGAGGGAGTCCTCCTCAGGCCTCATGTATGCCTGTGGAGTGTGCCAAGACTGCTCTTTGCCCCAGGCCACCTTTAGAGTTGTTCTTGCTGCTGATGCCCTTGAGAAATGAGGGTAACGTCTCCCCACCCTCTGCCCCTAAAAGGCAGACTTGTTTACTGTTGGCTGTGAAGACAGTGGATTCCCCAAAAGCTCAGTGTTCCTGGGCCATGACACAAACCCACTTTACCTGTAATACTGACCTGGGCCGGGGATCACTCCTGTGGACCTTGAGGGCAAGAGGAGCTAGTGCCAATATGTTGATGCTCATGCCGCCTGCTGTGTTGTGAGTAATACGGTTCTTTGTTTCTGACCCAGGAGCTCATGTCTCCTGCCAGCATCCATAAAATAGAATCAGGCTAACCTGTTAGTGTGTAAGTGGGGTAAAGTCACATCTTAAACCTGACATCTAGCTTCCTGAATCCTGGGTGGAGCTCCTTCCACAGGAATGCCTTCTATAAATACCTCAACCCCAAGGGAAGGTATGGTGGTCACAAAGCTCATCTGGTGATATGACTGGATCTGCTCCAAGTTCTTTCCTTTTGATTTTCTGGGCCTGGGCCTCCGTTAGCAGGCCTTCGGTAGGTATCGATTGTGGGTAGTTGACTGGCTCATTGGTAAATGGATCCCTAGAGGCCAGCAGAGGCCAGCCCATGGACGTGATAGGGAGGGAGCTGGGAGGAAGAGGGAGAATGGATAAGGGAGGAGGAGGATCACTTGGCAAAGACATTTACTGTCCCTTTCCCATTTTCTGTACCATTCATACCATGACAAGAGGAGTAAGGGTAGCGAAGTTGCTCCACTGAGGCAGGAGCATCCTTGAGGATCTCGGGAATGGGGGAGGGAGGGAAAGGCTAGTGGCCTGTGGGAGGCATCGTGTGAGGGAGGAGGGCTGCTGGAAGAAGAGCTCACTTGGGGAGAGGTCCCACTGTGTGATTTGGGGTAGAAGAGGGGAAGCGAGGCCAGGGTAGCATCACGATCTCACCCGGAAAACACTGAAGTCCATTTTTACCTTGCTGACTAGTTCCTTGTAAGAATCCTAAAGAAATCTTAGCCAGTGAGGAGAACTCCAACCAGGAGCGAGTGTTCCAGGCCCTTTAAGCCTGATGAGCCTCCTCACACACATGGTCCACAGAAAGTGAGGCCAACTCTCCCCAAGACATATCAACTGCTAAAGAAGTCTGAAATGATAGCAGGTGTTTTTCAAAATGACTTTCCCTTTATTGACTAAAGTAGATAGGCCTCTGTCATAAAACTTTAATTGCTCATCAAATATTTGGCTAAAATTGAGTCATTTTCTTTCAGGGGAAGTTAGCATTCTTAAATCACTAGCAAACGAGAGGTTTGTAAAAAATTTACCAAAGCACTCTTTGTGTGTATACACAATGGTTAATGGTCAATAAATAGATACATTTCTTTATTGCCTAGAGGTTCTGTCTAATGTTTAATTTTTAAAAATTGTACCACTTATATGAGGTATGTAATGTAGTCAAACTCCTAGAAATAGAAAGTAGAGTGGTGGTTACCGGGGATGTCAAGGAGGGGGGAGTGGTGAGTTTTTAAATAGGTAGAGTTGCAATTTTGCAAGATGAAAAAATTCTGAAGCTCTGTTGTCCAACCATGTGAATATACTTAGCTCTAGTTTATGTTATGTGTTTTTTATCATAATCAAAAAATTGTGGAGGACATCAATGTAGAGTGAACACAGTATTGATTTTATAGTTTTAACTTCCCTGGTTGATTTAAATTCATATGTTCATGCTGTGGGAAGAGGCAAAGTTCAGAGAAGGGAAAACATCTTTTTTGCTAAATTTTAGAGAACTCCTCAGGCTACTAAGTAGCAGTTAGTTGAATGTCTGCTCAATATATATATATATATATATATACCACACGAGCACACACACGTATGGAATTTGAATACACTCACATTTCACTAGAGATCATTGCATATTTTCTTGTGTGAAAGAAAAATCATATCAATGCTTATTCACTTTTCAGCCATTATAAAAGATCACTAATTAAAGAAGACACTTCTGGGCTTACATTCGAAAGGAATGAAGAGATAGTTCTAAATCCAGGTTCATAGCAGCATTATTCACAACTGCCAAAAGGTATAAACAACTCAAGTGTCCATTGACAGAGGAATGGATAAGCAAAATGTGGTCTATACATCCTTGGAATATTATTCAGCCTTAAAAAGGAAGGAAATTCTGAGACAGGCTAAAACATAGATGAACTTTGAAGACATTCTGCTAAGTGAAATAAGCCAGTCACAAAAAGACAAATACTGTATGACTCCTTGGGGTCAAATTCAGAGAGACAGAAGTAAAATGGTGGTTGCCAGGTACTTATGGGGGTGATGGGTGGGGGTAATGGGGAGTCATTGTTTAATGGATGTAGAGTTTCAGTTTTGCAAGATGGAAAGAGTTCCGGAGAGGGACGGTGTTGATGGCTACCCAACAATGTGAATGCACTAAATGTCACTGAGCTGCACACTCAGAAATGGTGGTTGTGAATTTTGTGTCCTGTGTATTTTACCTCAATTAAAAAAATATTGATAAATGATAAAAAAATCACAAGTTAAGGAAGAACCTCCTCAATGTTACCATTCATTTCTGCCAGCCACCCGTCCAAGCTCATAGGATGCTCTTCCCAACACTTCACAGGCCAAACTGACAGGGTCTAATGTGATCAAAATACGTAAATTTTGTCTCACTCTCTTCTTTCTGACACCACAATCCTCTTGTCTGACAAGCTGGGAAGTGGTTGAAATAAATAGGACCTGCGACCTGCCCCATTTGGTGTTCTTCCCACATTCTGAAGCATTTGCACTTTTCCAATGTGCACATGTGTGAGGAAGATTTTCTAATATCAAAGATGTTTTTCTCATTAAAGAAAGCCTTTGATTCAGCCATAAATAATCATCTCTGAGTGAGATGTTCAAATGTTCCATTTGTAAAAATCGGTGATTCTTAAGTGAGACCATCCCCATATTGACGTAAGATGTCCGTTTAGTACTGCCCTCTGAGCCTCGCCAGGATAAACAGGACAATTGGACGTTGGCCTGCTCCCATCAAGTGAACGTCACCCATTCCACTAGCCCCTGTTGACAGATAGCTATGTGATGGGTAAGCTGTTCAATGAGAACACTTACTTTCTCCCACAACCACAGAATCCTGTATTGCTTTGTATGTAAAATTCCTGCCCAGAAAAGAGCAGTTTGGGCAGTTAAGTCTACTGGCAAAGCCATGATGGTTGGAGACATCATTTAGTCCATATTAAAAAAAAAAAACAAAACAAAACCAGCAAACCTGTGTTTCCCTGGTCAACATTTA